GGGGGGCGGCGGGGTGGCGTGGGGCGGCGCGCGGGTGCCCTCACCGCCCCGCGCTCCCCAGGCCTCCTGGTGCACTCCAAGTTCCTCGACAAGAGGGACGGCCGCTTCGGCGCCGTGCCCGCCATGGACCTGAGCCTCTCGCCGCCCTCGGGCCTGGAGTCGCCSAGCGGCGCCGCGGCGCTCTCGCCCGAGCGCCAGGGCGCCGGGGACCTGCCCGTCTCCAGCCCGCACGTAAGTCCGGCCGTGGCGGCCAGCGCGGGCGCCGGGGGGAGCGCCGGGCAGCGCCGCCCACACGCCCGCTCTGCTCTGCCGCCAGGACTTGCAGGCCCTGCGCTACATCGACGGCCTCCCCGGCTCCTTGCAGTTCTTCCTGCCGCTGGGGGCGGCGGGCGCCCTGCACCTGCCCTCCGCCGCCTTCCTGCCGCCCCCCAAGGAGAAGCGCCTCTCGCCCGAGCTGCCCCTGCCCAAGCAGCTCGTGTGCCGCTGGTCCAAGGTGCGTGGGGCAGCTGGGCGCCGCCGTGGGCTGCTGCAAGGATGCGGGTTGTGCTACGGCGCTGGGAGCCCTTGCAGGGGCCGTGCAGGGGCGGGAGGGTCAGGCGGGGAGGGTTTGTGCCTGGGGAGGGGACAGGAGGCTGCAGGCCACGCGGGGCGACACGGGGCGGGGAGGTGGAGTGGGGCACAGGCAAGTTCCCACCTCGCCGTGCCCAGGCAATGGGTGACGCTGCACTGGCKGGGCCCCTGTGACGGCGCTGGCCCTCGCAGGGGCTCCCCGGCGTCCCCTGCTGTGGTACCTGCGGTGCCCACCGCGCTGCCCTGCTCTCACCCAAGCCCGTCTCTCCTGACCTCAGTGCAACCAGTTCTTCGACCTCCTGCAAGACCTCGTGGACCACGTCAACGACTTCCACGTGAAGCCCGAGAAGGACGCGGGCTACTGCTGCCACTGGGAAGGCTGCGCGCGCCACGGCCGGGGCTTCAACGCCAGGTGGGCGAGCAGGGYGCGCGGGGGCTGCTCTGGGTCGCCGTGGGGCAGCGCAAACACGGGTTCGGGCTGGACCCACGGGGACCCGTGTAACGGCCGCGTGGGCCTGGCCGGCACAGGTACAAGATGCTGATCCACATCCGGACACACACGAACGAGAAGCCGCATCGCTGCCCCACCTGCAACAAGAGCTTCTCCCGCCTGGAGAACCTCAAGATCCACAACCGCTCGCACACAGGTTGGTGGGCACTGTGCCCGGCTCGCTTGCGGGGGGATGAGACCCCCTTGCCCACCTGCAGCCACCGTCACGGGGTCCCCCGTGGCCGCAGGAGCTTGGGGGCGYGTGGGCGGCCCCGGGCAGACCGCGCTGCTCTGTGCCCCCAGGCGAGAAGCCCTACATCTGCCCCTACGAAGGCTGCAACAAGCGCTACTCCAACTCGAGCGACCGCTTCAAGCACACGCGCACGCACTACGTGGAGAAGCCCTACTCCTGCAAGATGCCGGGCTGCCACAAGCGCTACACGGACCCCAGCTCGCTGCGCAAGCACATCAAGGCGCACGGGCACTTCGTGTCCCCCGAGCACCAGGAGCTGCTCAAGGCGCACCAGCCGCCCAAGGCGCCCCTGGGCCCGGCCGAAGTGCCTTACGTGAACGGGGCGCAGCTGCTGGTGCCCGGCGCTGCCGCCGCGCTCTTCGGGCCGCACGCGCTGCCGGGCCTGGGCGCCGCGCTGCCCATCCCGCTGCCGCCGGCGCCGCTGGATCTCAGCGCGCTGGGCTGCGGCGCCGTGGGCTCGGGGGTGCTGCCCGCGCTGCCCAGCCCCGTGCTCGCCCTCAACGGGGCGCCCTTGAACTTGGCCAAGAACCCGCTGCTGTCGTCGCCCTTCGCGGCGGGCGGCCTGGGGCTGCCCGTCATGTCGCTGCTCGCCGGCGCGGCGGGCAAGGCGGAGGCCGAGAAGCGGCGCGGCGCCGAGGGCCGGCTGCCCAAGGGCGGCAAGGCGCAGGCGCCCGAGAGCCGCAAGGAGGCGTGCGAAAGGACGGAGCTGGCGCGGCTGCGTGGCGGCGCCGAGGGCCTGGCGCTGCTGCCCGGCGCCGTGCTGGACCTGTCCACAGGCGGCAGTGCGGCAGGCGGCGCCGAGGCCCTGCCGCCCGGCTGGGTCGTCGTCCCGCCCGGCTCCGTGCTGCTCAAGCCAGCCGTGGTGAATTGAGAGCCGACGATGCCCGCGGCCGCCCACAGAGCCCACGGGCAGATGCCAGGCGGGGAGGGGGCCCCTGTGGCACCCCCTGCGCCATCCCCTCCCAAACTTGGACCTTCTCTCCTTTTTAACCTTCACGAAAGAAGAAGGGGACTCTTCTGAGAATAGCAATAATCCCTCGGCGGCCGTGGCYGGCTCCGACCCGCGCCCTGGCGCCCGCCACGCACTCCAGCTGCCGCCTGGACGCCCTGTCACCTGGTCCCCTCCTGTCACCTGGTCCACTCGAGCTCCACCAGCCCCACCGGACACTGGTCCCGGACACTGGTGGGGCGGGCGCAGCGGCGGTGCAGCTGGTCCCGGGGCTCTCTGGGCTGGTCCTGCGGGAAGGCCCCCCCGGTTCAGGCCTCGGCAGCTGGAGACGCCTCTTTATTTACAGACCGGCCCCGCTGCTCCCAGCGGGCCCCAGTTGGGTGCTTTGCTCTCGTCGACAGGGCGTCTCCCTGCCCGAGGCCTCAGGTCCTGCTGCTGTCTGGCACCGTGCGGCCTTCTGCCACGGCCGGGTGCYGTGAGGAGCGGGTCGAGCAAGGGGACAGGATGGTGACAGCCTGGGGACCGCAGCGAGCTCGAGGGGGCGGCAGCACCATCCGTCCCATGCCACGTGGCCAGGCCAGGGGCTGCCCGCTGGCACCACAGGGATGCGCAGGGCGCCCTGCTCGGCGGCTAAGCAGCGCTCAGCGCCGCACGGGCAGCGTCCCGGGGCGCCCGCTCCGCGCCAGCCCCTGCCCCACACGTTCCGTGGGCAGAGCTGCCCCCGGGGCGGCGGGGTGGGCGCCGAGCCCAGCTGGCTGGGCACACGGCGCAGCGGYTGCCGTCGACACCACTGCTCCGCTGGCGAGGCCGACCTTGGAGCCTCCGGAGCGCTCGGTCCTGACCCGCTCGTGGAGCACGAGCGCCGGGCGGCCCCGCGCCGCGGCCGGCGCCCTCCCACGACAAGGCACACGGCCCGTGTGCCGCTCACCGCGCCGGCTCCGCGCGTCGCGGAGCCCTCCTGCGCAGCTACCTTCATACCTAGCCATGTAACGCACGTGCATGCAGCCAACCGGCAGCGCGGCGGCGCTCCGGCCTCGCCGGGGGCAGCGCCCCGGGGACCCGCTGCCCGACATCCCCGTGCCCGCTCCCTGGAGGCCTCCAGGCCTTCCGCAAGCTTGGCCCGTACTCACCTACCCGAGCCGGCACGTGRGTGCAGTGCGGCTGCCCGCGGTGCCAGGGCTGTGCCCTGAGTCCCCCGGCAGCACCGGGACAGGGACTTGCACAGGGACTGCAGGGCCCCGCTCGCAGCGGGTGCACTCGTGGCCGTCTCTCTTCGCCACCGCCAGCACACGGGGACCCAAAGGAGCCCTGCGGTGCCACACGGCCTCCATGTGGGACCCCCGGTGTGGCTGGACACCGGCTGCCCCCGCGCGTGGCASCATGGGCATGCGGAGCAGCCTGTGCAGAGCCCCCACAGCGCCCACCCGCGCTCTGCCAGCAGCAGCAACAACGAGCAGGGAGCCCCTGGGGCACGGGCTGTCCCACRTGCTGGGGTGGCAGCCGGCCCTGCGGAGCCGCCCAGCTGGCGCAGAGCCCCTCGTGCCCCAGCCCTGCACCCCCCGACCCTCCCTCRCTCCCCGAGGGACCGCTCGTCCTCGCCACGGGGCCCCGACCGCCCCCAGCACGGGGGCCTGGCTCTCCCTCGACCGCCCCTGCTCCTGCGGGGTCACCAGCGTCCCCCTCGCCCCGCTGGCGCTCACAACGGGGTCCTGCGTACCTCCTCACTGCCCTTGGGCAGGACCCCTGCTCTCTCCGGACCGGGGGTCTCCCCAACCCCCTCCTAGCCCCGCTGCTGCTGGAAAGCCTCCCCGGGAGCCCRAGCGCCAGGGCCCCCCGCCACGCGCCCCAGGGAGCCGGTCTCCCTGCTCACCTCGTCGGGCCGGGGCGCGCGGGCTGCCCAGCGCTGCCGCACGGCGCGCGGCCATCGACCAGGCCTCCCCGGCCGGTGTACGTTTTCTTGCTCGTTTGTTGGTTTGTTGTTGCACATTCCAGGACATCAGTATTTTAACGGTCTCTAAGTGCCTTTCTATTGTAGTTTCTGGGTTGTTTTTATTTTCCTCCTGTTGGGCTCCATCGCTGTTAGCATAGAGTTTAAGGACTACAGAAGTAAGAGATAAGCTAACGACTATAACACTATATTCCTCCATGGGAGAGGAAGTTTATTAAGAAAACAATAAAGTGAAATTGAAGTAAGTTCCTGTTCTGGTCTGCAGTTGTGCCGCCTGCTTCCCTGTGCTGTGCACCTGGGGGCAGCGGGAGGCAGCTGTGGGCCAGGGGCAGCTCCAGACCCCCGCTGGGGACATTCGTGCTGCGGGCAGCGGAGATGTGACCTCCTCGTGGCACCAGGGAACGGCCACGATGGAGCTGGCTCTGCCGAGCGCCGCGTGAGCCAGGAGCAGGCGGAGAGCGGGGGCGGTGCCGGGTCCGGCCCGGGAAACCCAGGGGCTGAAGCCTCAGGCCACGAACAGCCCCGCGCTGGGGCAGCCCTGCCGGGGCTGCAGCGTGAGCCGCAGGTGGGGACGCCCGCGCACCCCGTGCGGCCCCTCACTGAGGGCTGCCCCTATGGGAGAAGGGAACTGGACATGGCCCAAGGTACCAGTGGACATGGGCCAAGACAGACTAAAGCCACYGTGAAAGCAGCTCCTGCAGCCTCTTGAGGACTGATTTAAGCACTGGCAGCCTTTGATGCCCCAAGGCCCAGCTGGGGACTCCTCTTTTTCCTCACCTTACCTATACTATCCCTAGGCACCTCCCTGCCATGATAAAACGCAGCGCCAGCAGCTCTGGAGCCACTGGGGTCTCACCAAGGCAGGGCTGGGGCAGCCTCCCGCGCCCCAGGGCGCACAGCACGCAGGCCAGGCGCTGCAGGACGTGACATTTATTGGCTACCTATAACTTATGGGAGCGGCGCGCGGGGCACAGGGCTGGCGGGAGTCACGTCTCGGCCTTCCAGCCCTTCTCCTTGTCGCTCTGYGCCTGGATGCGGAGCTCCTCGTCCAGCCGCTCCTTGGCCCTCACCACCTGCGGGACRAGGGCACAGGGTGATGCAGAGCCGGGGCTGGGTCCCCGTGTCATGTCCCCTGCCCCGGGGGGCCTTCTTCCATTGACAGGGCTCTGAAACCGCCCCGTGCTGCCAGCACCGTGTCCTTTGTGCAGCACAAGGACACAGCAAGTCAGCCACAGGAGACACCGGCCTCACACAAACACAGCGCCCTGGAATGTGAATTGCTGCCAAATTCTTCCCAAATCGAAGGCAGCAAAACAGGCAGAGGGCAGAGCAGGGAGGCTGCAGCACAGGCAGCTGACCAGGCCCCGCATCCCTCTGCTCTTTGCTCACCTTCGACTGCAGATAGAAGGAGCCTCCCACCGACTTGTCATTCACCTTGAACAAGTGGTTGTAGTTCTGGCAAAGCAAAGCTCAGTGTTAGGTGCCTCTCCACTGTCCCCCCAGTCCCCACCAGTGACCCCGGCTCCGGAGGCTGCTCTGTGCAGCCACGTCCTCTCCCCACCATTGCTGCAGCACCAGATCCCCAGGGGCCACAGGAAGAGCCTGGTAACACCTGGGTGCTGCTGGCAGACGTGGGGGAAACCCTGCCTGCCATCAGCGGAGCTCAGTGACAGCACCCACAACCCAGGAGCCCAAACACCAGGGATTCCCCTGCCCGCCACGGCCTGGCAGCTGCAGGAAGCAGCCTCTGGGCACCCTCCTGCCGCGCTGCCTGCCCGCCCCGGCTCCCGTTACCTTCTGAATTTCCTCGGCGTTGAGGTCAGAAACGTTGAGGATCTGCTGGGCTTCCTGCAGGCTGATGCCGGCGATCCTGGAGGCGGCGGCGGACGGGGGCCTCTCGGAGCGGCCCCGCGCGTCGGCGGCGGCGCGGCTGGCTGCGGGACGGGGCTGGCTCAGCGCCCGCACGCGGGGCTGCGCGGAGGGGCCCGGACCCGCCACGGGGCCATGGCCTCGCTGGCTGCTCGGCTGGCGGGCGCGGGCGCCGCGGCTCTGCCGCAGGGCCGGGCTCTGTCCCGGGGGGCTGCCCGGGGCACAGGGCTCCGCTCCGAGGGAGGCGGGTGGTGCCGGAGCCCCCCAGGCCACGGAGCCGCCTCGGGATCCACCCGGGACAGCGCCAGGCGGCGAAGCGGGCAGCCGGCCGGCTCCTACCTGCGAACTCCTGGCGCAGCGCCCGCGCGAAGGCCCGTCCCACCACCTGCGCGCCCACCAGGATGATCTGCGCCAGGTACTTGGCCTGCGGGGACACCGGCGTCACGGCACGGCCCGGCCTGGCCTCCCAGCCCGCCGCCCCGCGGGGCCG